CAATCCAGCAACAAAACAGTTTAGAAAGAATTTGCAACATAAGAGAGATGGGACTAATTAGGCAAGGAGCCATTGATCGTTGTGAGACTTTTGCAGGAGCAGAGGAAGGTGGCTGGCATCCAAACCCTACATTTCCTGGAATACAAAGAAAAAGGAGTACCTAAACTGGTAATGTTTGGATGCAAATTGAAAGATTGCCATGCTGTGAGCATGCTACAGAGAAAAGAAAACAAAAGAGTTACGTCAAAAACAAGACTACTCTTTTATTTTGTTTGTGGAATGAAAGGGGAGTATTTGGTGACACTGGAGATTCTTCATGGGATTAGGAATGTGGCTACAGTGACATGGAATAAGTCAGGCAAGAGGCATCCTTGTCAAATAAGACTTCTCAAAGTGCTTCAGCACAACTAGGAGCCTGAACTCTAGTAATTAATTAGTTTTCTGCTTTAATTCACTGTTTGTCTATTTTTCTAAGGATGCGATACTAAAGACACTTGAAGTCCAGAGGAGTTTCCCTTTGACTTAGCAAACTGGCTTAGGCTCTCAGTCTCAGGAACATTCTGCCTGAAGTATCTAAGGCTCCTAACTTAAGGTCCACAGTCATCCCAGACTGCCTTTTATAGTCAAGGGATACCTGCCCATATATGCTGAGATTGTAGGTAGGATAGATTGCTCTCTGGAGTTTTCTCCCTCTGTTGACTCCATGAAGTCAGGGGTAGTAAGCTCTTCATTAGGTAGCACAAATGTTTAAAGGTAAAGTGGTTGAAATTTGGCTCATTATATACATGTGGACAAAAGAGCTATCTGTATGAAGATACTATATGAGATAAAACATGAATTCAAAATGAGAAATATGTATTTATCTAATGAAAAAATTAAAAGTTTTTATTTACCATTTCACTGATGGGTGACATATCACTAATTTGAAAAGGAATTCCCAGAGTCTAATATGACTAATACATAGTTTAGGAGAATTAATCTTTTATATAGTATCCTGTACATCAATAAAAACAAATGTGATTACTACATCAGTATTTGTTGGTTTAGAGCAGATAAAGTACAAGTATTTGAGATCAGTTTTTTCTTTGGAAGAATGTAAGGTTTTCTTGAGATGATTCCAAGTACTGACTTTACGTCACTTTAAGAAAAAAAGAAACCACAATGCTGACAGCTCTGCCTTCTTATTTCATCCTCTAAATCTGTAACAAAAACATAAAAAAAATTTTCCACAGAAACAAGGGTCTTTTTCTAGGTTAATGATAGCAATACTAAGCATCAGGTTGACTTCAGAATTTAAAAGAAATGGTTCATACTGTGCACTTCCCACCACAGTATACCTTAATCTCTGACCAGTGAGAGGTCATTTTTTAATGTCCAGAGCAATGTCCGTTTCATGTCCGTTTCTCCATATAGAAAGGATGCCAAACAGAGTGACCTGAGCCTATTTTAGCCAACCCCCAGAAAGATGTTTTTTTGTCTTGGGAAAATTACCAAAAACCTCCCACTTTTTCTGTCTGGCCATAGCACAAAAAGCAGCGAGATCTAGACAAGACAAATCTACAGAGGCAAGGAAACTGAAAACTACAGCTATATCTACACTTGGGCTGATTGCAAGTTTGACCAAAGCATTTTTTTATTATTATTTGCAAGGTAGAATCAAAGGTTTTCCTCTGTGAGACACATTCTTAATCTCATGACCCAGTTCTTCAGTGTGGCTTTGAGTAGCACTCTAGAAATCCTTACAGACTTTTGCTACTTAGAAGGTCTCAGGAATGTTCCCTTCATTTAAAAAAAAACCTTTCAAATCAGAACACAAAAACCCCAAACCTCTTTTACTCAGACTAAGAAGCACTCAGACCTTCAAGCAAGAGGTCTTCAATATGAGAAGAGGCAGATCAGTAAAATATCCTACTAGTGGTAACCAGAGCGGGTTTTGAAAGGAATTTTTGTATTTTGAAGAGGTAATCTTGGTTCTATACATAAATTTTAAAAGTCCTTTCCATTGGTTGACCAAATAGTACATAAATATGTGGTGGGTTTTTTATGGAAGGTGTTCTTACTGATTCACAAGGGGAAAAATAGCATCTATTCAAAAACCAGTTATCTCCATATGATTTTATTCACTTGGTACTGAGGGTACAAAAAATTATAAAAGAATGAAGGAACTGTGAAATTATCATCTAATCCAAAGAAGAAGCAAAGAAAAAAGTTAGATGTATGGCTGAATGCTGAAGTTAAGGCTTACAAGGTGGTTTTAAATATCTGTAGTGTTCTTTTCTCAAAAAGAAAGACAACTGACTTCATACCAAAGGAATTAACGAGAGGATGTACATGTATATTCAGCCTATAAGAAAATTTGTGATTTCAAACATTTTAAATACTTCTAAAAATAATTAAAAAAAAATTAAATTCATTAATGCAAACTTATGCATCATAGCTGTTATCTTCTTTAATCCTTTGACAGTTCTTTGTGCCTTATGACTTCAGAAAGAATTAGAAACAGCTCATACTGGAGTCCATTGTGCACTCCCCTTAGAACCACTTCCTTCTTTTCCTACAATTACTAGGATTTATTTTCTTTGCTTGAAAATAGGATTTTTGTCTAATTTGAGTCCCTGCTATTTAATTCCTACTTGAAGTCATAATCCTCCATGTCACATCATACCAATTTCTTTGTACCCAATTCTGATTTCACAGGCAGGATTCTGACTTAGGAAGAACTGAATACTTAGGTGCACTTTACATACCAGAATCTAGTCTTTCAGAAACATACAAAGTAAGGAATGCTGCAGACAGACAATTTCAAGGCATTAAACTCAAGGTACAATCTGTGAAAGTTTGAGCTCATGTTTATCACTTTTCAATAGTATATTAATTAAGAAGTTAGTAGAGTATACTGTATTCTTTCCAAGATACTGCTTCTGAGAGATGTCTCTCTGATACACAGGCTGTTCACAAAAATTTAAGGTGAGGTGATCATTTTTCTAAATAGTCAGTGGTGTCAGTAGAGACACTCCCCCCCTATACAGGGAAAACCCTTTGCTGCAAGACTTCTATTCTGGAAAATCTGCAAAGAGAAAAGCAACTGAAAGCAGTAACTGTTTTCTGTAAAGCTAGGCATATTGAAAACATAAGAGCAGTTATTTATTACAAAAAGAACCTATAGTTGAAAAAGAAACCTCTTAATTTTCAAGAAAGGAAGTCCTGTATTGTTGCCTCAGTGCTGAACTGACAGGATCATAAACTGGGCTTTATTAATTGCTACAGGACTGCCTTTCTGTATCATCAAATAAAAATCCCTAATGGGAAAAGAATATTCACATCACTTAAAGCTCAATATATGTAGCTGACCAACTGATTTCAATTTAATGGATTTATAGGACATCATGTACTGAACTGCTGAACTAGAAAAAAACCCAACAAAACAAAAAACAAACAACTTCAGGAAACGTACAGAAATTATCCTTTATTTTATGTGATATTTTATTTCAAGTGACTTGATATACGCAATCATCATCACAAATTTTATCAGGTTACGAACTGCACTCAAACACTTCTAAAACCTTTTCTCTCTGTACTTTCAAGTTCTTGTAGGAGCAGCTTAGAGACTATAGTACTGAGAGCGTTCATCTTTTTCATGGGACCTTAGTCAGAAGCAAATATATACTGAAGCAGAGCATATTATTAAAATACAGAAGAGAGTTAACTCTCAAGCTTCAGTGTGTATTTTGTTTATTTTCGGTTGGGTTTCTTTGGCATATACCTGAAGGAGGTTATCAGAGAGAAAGGTTTGCTTATAAGATCTTCACATATAAAGGAACCTATGTAATCCGCGCTTCTTTCGGAAACCTCTTACTACCAAATGGAAACACAGGCAAATCAGAAGGAGGAATACCTTCTGGTATCTTGTTGCAAGTCTGTGAGGAAGACACTTCTGGTATCTTGTTGCAAGTCTGTGAGGAAGGCGCTTTAAACATCTTGAAAAATACAGACCGTTCCCTCTATTTATGGGTACTATCAGAGCGCCACGCAGAGCTCGGGAAATTACGTGCCCATCTACCTCGGAGATCCAGCGGTTCTGCGAACTCGGCAGGGGCCGGAGGCGGCAGAGCAGGGAGTCCGCTGGGGCACACGCGATACTCGGGGCGGGGGGCGCGGGGGGCGCGCCCGTCCCCGCAGCGGGTCCCCGGCGGGAGCTCACTTCCCGTCATCCACGCGCCATCTAGCGTCGGGGAGAGGGGGGCGGCTTGGCACGGGAGCGGAACGGAGAGGAGGAGGAAAAGGCTCCCACACCCGTCCCAGCTCTCGCCGTTCCCAAAGCTGGTAAGAGCCATTTGGATATTGCAGCCAGAACTCCGGAGTGGCTCGGGGCGGGTTGTGAGGAGCATCGCCACGCTTCACTCCCAGGCGTCTCATCCCCCCCTTCTTTTACTGAACCGTTCCCCTTCCCTTGAAAGCAGCTAGCGCTCCCCAGAAATCCCCTCGGTACCTCACCTAAGCCACTGCCGCCGCCCCGCTCCCTGCCCAAAACACCGCGAACTCCAAAGGGTCTGTACGCCGCTGCTGGCGGAGGGGTTGGACCGCGCGATCCCGGCCCTGCAGAGGCACACACCGACACCCACCGACACACACGCGCACACAGGGACACGCACCGACACACACGCACACACCCCGACACACGCACATACACCGACACACAGGCGCTCACACAAACACATACACACGCACACGTAGGCACCGCCGCGCTCCCCGCCTGCCCTGCCGGCGCAGCCGCCCGCAGCCCCTTTGTTCCGCCCGCGGAGCGATGCCCTGCCCGCCCGCGCTCCCCTGCGCCCCGCTCCGCCACCCGGCGCCCACCGCCCCCGTGCCCCTCGCCCGCGGGCGGCGGCGGGGTGGCATGGCCCGCCCGCCGCGGGGGAGGCAGCGGGAAGCCCCTTCCCCGCCCCCGGCCGCGCCAGGGCCTCGCCGCCGCCGCCCGCAGCCCGCGGCAGCCCCGCGGCAGGGCAGGGGCAGCGGCCGCAGCCGCAGCCGCGCCTGACAGCGGCTCCGCGCCGCAGGATCCGCGCCCCGCAAGGACGTGCTCCGCCGAGCTGCCAGGCGCGATTACGTTGTTTTTTCCCCCCACCCACCCCTTGAACTTGTTGCTTGGCGCTCGGCGGTGGCGGAGGGGGGTGGGGGTGGGGGAAAGCCTTATTATCGATGTCCCTTTGGATGCGATCAAGCTTTCTCAGGAGCAACTACTTCCTCGCCGTTCCCGGCGGGGCGCGGAGATCTAGCGGCAGAGCCCGTATTTCCAAAAGTCTCTATGCAACTGAGCGCTCTCGCCAGACTTTCACAGGTAGGTGCCGCAGGCTGGGCACGTCCGGAGGGATGCGAGAGCTGAGCCGAGGGGAATGGGCGAGAGGAAGGAGGTGGGGGGACGAAGGGGGGACATGATGCACCGCCGACCGCTACGGCACCGCGCGCCCCTGCCCCGCGCCCTCCTCCGCGCCCCCCGCCCGCCCCGGCCTCCCCCGCCGCCAGGGAGCCCCTGCCCCGCTCCCACTCCACCATCAACCTCCCCCGGCTTCGCCTTTCACCGCCCGCTCGGGCGCTCCCGGAGATGCCCCGTGCACCCCACCTTCTGCGGTCGCCTTCAAAGCTCCCGCTCCTACCCCTGCCACGACCGCCGGGGCTCTGCCCGGCCCCGATGCCTCGTCCGGGGAAAAGCCCCACTCTGCCCCCTCCCTCTCTGTGGGGCTCTCGCCGCTGCCGGCGCCCCATCCCCTGCATCCCTCTGCCCTTCAAAGCATTTCCTGCACGGAAAACTTGCCTTAAAGTTTAATGCTGCCGCCCGGAGCTCCTCCCCCTGCCCCTCCGGCACCCCCGGCCCCTAGCCGGGCTCTGGAGGAGTCCCCAGGGCGGCGATAAAGGTCAGGGAGAGGATTCATCCTGTCGCTGCTTCAAGGCTACCGCCGGGAAGGGGGGCGGCCCTCCCGGCCCATCCCCTCCGCCCCGCCACGGTGAGCGGCGGCGGCGCCCCGCTGCAGCCCGCCCGGGAAGGGCTCCGCTGGCTGCCGCGGCCCGGCTCCGGCGGCGGGCGGGGAGCGAGCAGAGGAGGGGCGGAGGGACCGGCTGCATCGCGTGTGGAAAAAAATCTCCTTTCAGGTGGCTGCACAGCTGCACCAGAGCTACTAGCCAGCTCCAGGGTCTAGTGCTTTGAGGACCCTTGCTTCCATCCAGGGGCCTCGCATGGAGACCTTGTATCCAAAGGAGCTAGCTGTTAAGAGTACCTGCTGTGAATACATGGATTTCCAAGTGCTCTCATTTATTGCTCTAATTGTCTACCCAGTGCCTGGAAAGCATATTCTGGGGTGAAAAATGGGAGGAAATGAAAAGGAAGCAAACAGGTTTTTGGTGAATACTGAAAATCACAATAGTGTTCAGAAATTCACCTGCCTCAAAAACATGTGAGCATTGGTATTTTTCTTTTCCCTCTCTATTTTAGTACCTGGACCAGAACTGTCTCTAGATTGACTCCCTTAGGTGTAATAGGCATTTGGAACCATGGCAGCAGGAGTAGCAGCTTGGTTACCCTTTGCCAGGGCAGCGGCCATAGGATGGATGCCAGTGGCCAGTGGTCCCATGCCAGCTGCTCCACGGCAGGAGAGAAAGCGAAGCCAGGACTCTCTAATTGTGCTGAATGTGAGTGGCATCCAGTTCCAGACGTGGCTGGACACCTTGGAGCGCTACCCTGACACTCTTTTGGGCAGTTCAGAGCGGGACTTCTTCTATCACCCTGAGACACAGCAGTACTTTTTTGATCGGGACCCTGACATTTTCCGCCACATTCTCAACTTCTACCGTACCGGCAAGCTTCATTATCCTCGCCAGGAGTGCATCTCAGCTTATGATGAGGAGCTGGCCTTCTTTGGTATCATCCCTGAGATCATTGGTGACTGCTGTTACGAGGAGTACAAGGATCGCCGACGTGAGAATGCTGAGCGCCTGCAGGATGATGCTGACCAGGATAATGTACCTGAGAGCTCCTTACCCTCAATGACAGCTCGTCAGAGGATGTGGCGGGCCTTTGAAAACCCCCACACTAGTACACTGGCTCTGGTCTTCTACTATGTCACTGGTTTCTTCATTGCTGTCTCTGTTATTGCCAATGTGGTGGAGACAGTGCCCTGTGGGGTAAGCCCGGGTCGCATCAAAGAACTGCCCTGTGGAGAGCGATATGCAGTGGCTTTCTTCTGCCTGGATACTGCCTGTGTCATGATTTTCACAGTTGAATATCTGCTACGTCTGCTGGCAGCCCCTAGTCGCTACAAATTTGTGCGCAGTGTTATGAGTATCATTGATGTGGTGGCCATCATGCCATATTACATTGGCCTGGTTATGACAGATAATGAAGACGTCAGTGGGGCTTTTGTGACATTAAGGGTCTTTCGTGTCTTCAGGATCTTTAAGTTTTCCCGCCATTCACAGGGTCTGCGTATCCTGGGGTATACCCTGAAAAGTTGTGCCTCGGAGTTAGGCTTCCTCCTCTTCTCACTCACTATGGCCATCATCATCTTTGCCACAGTCATGTACTATGCAGAGAAAGGTTCATCAGCCAGCAAGTTCACCAGCATTCCTGCAGCCTTCTGGTACACCATTGTCACCATGACAACACTGGGGTAAGTGCAGCTGGTGTTTGGTTACAGCCAACATTTCAACAAGTGTATTGGCATGAACAGAAAACATGCAATTTAAAAAGATGTTGATAGAAAAAAATGCGAGGGTAAGTTTTTATTACAGAACTTTATGAATACAACTTGTCACTTCTTTCCAAGTGTTTTACAAATGTAAAGGAGTTAACGGCATTGCTAAAATTAAAATAACACAGGCCCCAAAACTGCAGATAAACTGAAAAAATAAATAACGAAACAAAGCAAAAAAAAAAATCTTGAAACGCTTTGGTCTTGGACAGTGAAATTGGAATACTTTATCAGTATCTGTGGATTTTAATGTATTAATGTATTTGCTGGTAGGACTTGATACCGTGTTGCTAAATTAATAATGATTATAAGGAGAACCCAAGTGTAAGCATTTAATTTGATCAGTATGTGGATCTGCCATTTTGTTTGAAGTGATGTATTGATGTAGACTTGGATATTGAGTTCGGTATTACAAAATGATTTGTTTTCATGCGAATTATATCTTATCTTCCCGTTCCTCATTGTATGTAAGACACTGAACACGTTTCCTTTGATTTTCATGGACCTGCAACTTTTAAGTGACAGGTGAGCTACACTGACTGGTGACAGACTCTGGAAAATGATCTGAGGAAGTGTGAGGCGTATGACAGATCAAGCATGTGTCTTTAAACATAATTCTTATTGCAGTATAAATTGTTTCAGAGAATTAGGGGTTAAAAAGGGTCATTGTTGACATTAGAATCCAATGCAGTTTAATGGGAAGAGGAGAGAGAGGATGATTTTATGAAGTCTCTGATACCAGAGTCCAATTGTATCAGCTGATTCTGTACACCAAGTTAAAAAATGCATTTGTCTGTAATTATAACAGGCACTTAGAAAGTTGACTAATTTGAGATGACAATTTTTTCCCTGTTCTTAATTTTGAGGTGTATAGTATCATCTATGAAACTGAAATTTCTTGCTTCTTTGGAAACTGTCTAGTTTTTTAATAATTGCAGATAGTAAATGACAAACTTTTCACTTTCATGCAGGCAAAGCTCATCATTTTGTTACCATTTTGCCACATTTTGTTGAGATTTATGAAACATGTATAACTCTTAAATTTAACAAAATGAAAGTGCATTATTAAACTATTAGGAAAAAGTTGATTTATTATGTGCAATTGTAATTTAGTTGGGAAACGCACATACAAAATCTTGAAAAAGATAAAGGGACTGTCTTATGCCACCATTTTTTATGCAAGGCTTTTATCTTCAGCATGATATAACAAATGAAGATAAATATAGTGCATTGTAAATATTTCATTCTTCTTGTAAGGGCAAGTTATGCTAAAAAGGAGTGACAAGAGCTTTGGGGATTTTAAACGGCTTTTTAGGTTCCTGGGGTTTTTTTTTGGTTTTCATTTTCTTCTGATAGTGGCAAATGGGAAGTTACACATGCTAACTAGTTGCACAGTCCTGATGCTGATACTTTTTGCCATATATTTTTAATTAGAACTGTGATGATTTCAAGAAAGCAGATCTTAAAAATTTACTGATATTTAGAATGTATAATGGTATTATAAAAGAACAGAAGCTGGTCTGTGGGGTTTTTTTGTAATGAAAGGTATTTTCTAAGTAGGTTGTTTCCACTCTTATGGACAATGTGAAAAGTACTTGTCCATGGTACTGAACATAATCTTTTCCTGGTTTGTGCCCAATTTGCGACTGATCGTGACACAAGTAGGATATCTATTTGGTATTAATGTGATTTGCTTGGGGTTCTTTTGACACACATATATGAATATTATTGTATTGTTCTGGGTTTTGAGGTATTATTGTAAGTACCGGTGAGATTTGAGTATGATTTAAAAGGTCTTTAAATAGAGCCTAAGAACCTATTTTCAAGTACCCAGCCACACAATATTTTGGTTCTAAGGGTTACAGAAAGTGTTAAAAAGAATCCACTCATGCTTAACTCCTTTTTCAAGGTAGTTTGCACAGAGAAAGTTGTAAGTAGGTTGTACAGAGATCCAAAGTCTCACCCTCAGAAGTTCAGATATGAGAACATCACCAATTGCTATGAAATCTTTAATCAGTGCATTAGCTAGATGATGTCCTTTAATTAACATCATAATAACCATATCAATTTTATGTACAAATGGTAAATATATACGAATAATTTAAATAAAATTAGCATAAAAAAAGCTCTGAAAGGCTTTTTAGTTGATGGAATAATTACACAAAGGGAGAGGGAAATTACAAGGAAAATCATCAAAGGTCAGTGAAAACTGACTGTAATTAATACTGCTACCTTTGCTGTATGCTAGAGCTTATTGCCTCCACTAATACAGAACTCCTTTTTGACTTTAGTTTTAGCTGAATCAAGGGTATATAAATGGACTTGATAGGAACAACTTTTTTCTTTAGGAAGAAAACTTGATGAAGTCTTTAGGTTTTAAATGAGAGTAGCACAGAGGTTATGTGAAATCTTACAAAGTACACAAAAGCTAATAACAAATGATAGATTAACATAAAGTTGAGGTTTTGAGTCTTGGTGTCATTCTCATATTTTGCCAGATAGCAAGGGTATTGAGTAAGCAAACTTTGCAATTTGGGGAGTTATTACCTTGGAAGCAGAGCTATATTTCTCAGTTCTGCATGATTGCTGAGCAATTAAAGTGTCTTTAAAAAACATAGATTACATTTTCCTCTTTTGAGTGCTAGTGACTTGAAATATTACTACATTTTTGCCTCCAAGGATATCCCAGCTATTAACTGCTGTTGACTGCTCAGCTCGAGTAATACATTTACATAGAGATGTTATATGAAATAAATGAAAAAGGAATGAAAGAAAGGAAAGAAAGAAGGAAAGGAATAGAGAAGGAGAAAGTGAGGAAAAAAAACAGAGAGAGAGAAGAGAGAAAGATGACTTTAGAATAACAGCATGCACTCTGCCAGAAACTGAGCTATCTGATTTTAAATTTCAAACTAGTGTTTTATCAGGATTAATTGTAGCAAAAGCAAAAGTAAAGTGCAAACAAGAGGAGAAAAGGGAATAAAATTGAAAGCGGTTGCAAAACATTTTATGGAGATAACATATAAAAATATATGGAGATAACAATAAAAAGCATAGAAGTTAGGGGAAAAATCAAGGTAGTGTAAAATTTTGCAGAAAAAAAAAGTTCAAGTCTGTTGAATTGGGACTGGCAGACTTCCATGGGGGCTTGTGAACATATACACCCATAATGACAGTTATGTCGCCTTCTGCTGTCACCTTATTCCACAATAATCTAATAACTTTCCTTCTGCCCTGTCAGTATCCAGCAAATGGTCTGGAATAGCTGGTAAGGTTTTGGTGGTGTAAGGGTAATGTTCGTTCCCAAGTCAGTCAGAGCTGTAGTGTGTATTTTGTAAAGATATTGGATTTTATGAAGGAACATAGTACTCTTCTGTGACTAGTTCTAAAGCAAGCTCTCTGCTGTATTAAAATTCTATATTTATGGGCTTTACACTGAGTAGCTTTGTCAAGTCACACAATGCTCTGTAGATGAGGACAATACTTTATGAACGGAAGCCTAAACACAAGACTACTCATTTATTTGCTTTGATTGTATAAACCAGAGTTGTGTCTTCCAGCAAAGATAAAGCAATTAGCTGTTTTCCGTATTTAATACAGCCCATAAAGTATGAGGGATGCCACCTAAGGTGTATCAAATTCCCTGAAGACTTATAATCAAAGAGATCACTAGATGTGACAACAGAAAGTGAACAGGGGAATAGGGCAATTTCATTTTCCTGCACATTCTGTTCTTTCCCATCTTCATTCCTTTTCCATTCTTTTTGCATCACTACAAGTATGTTATATCTATTTCTTTTCTCCATTTTTTTTTTTTTTAAACTACCACTTTCTGTAGTTTTCCTGTTTGGGGTTTGTCTACTGACTTGGCACCTTTCCTCCCATCTTCAAGACAAGGTTAATATTCTTCATAAGGACTCCTCTAACTTCATTTTTTCTACTTCTGCCTCTGCTGCTTTGTTCCAGATTCCTCATTCATCCTTCACCACTAGATCAAATCTTTCATTCATCATAATTTTCATTCATTTGACCTGAACTTTTCTCAGAATGTGTTTTTTGTCCTGGCCTTTGTTTGATAGATTTTTTCCTTATGAGCATCACAAAATTTCAACATCATCACCTTTTTCTCAAATGCCACACATTATGTTGTTTTCATTTTCTCTCCATTGTGCCATTGTGAGTACCTTTAGTTCCTTATGGTCTCTGCATTCTAGTTTGAAATAATCCATCTCTTCAGAACTTCTACTAAAAAAAGAGTTCCATAAAATCTGACAAGAAAGCACAAAATTCAAAATCTTTGTTTAGTGAACGATTTCATTAAAAGTTCAAATATACTCTTATGGTGAATATTACAAAGGTAAAGATTATCAAAGTTGGAATATTATTTCTCTATCTTGTATTGGCTCAGTCATTCATTTTTGTTTGATATTTTTAACTCTGTTTCAAATAGAATTTTTCTATTTTTGCCTTCTTACACACAACCTAGTGAATTTTGTATTTTACAAATGTGTTTGATGTTTCAGTCTATTTTCTCTTCAGAGCAGAAACATTTCGCTTGAATAGTGAGAATGCTGTATAGCAGATGAGGGGCAAAGTGTAGTGTGATTACCTTCAAAGCACATTGCTAGATATTCAAAAAGGGCTCCAGGGGGAATCTGTAATACTAAAGGTCATTTTGATGGCAGTAAAAAAAAAAAATTATTTGTTCTCTAATAAAAAGATTACTCAAACTGCATTGGGCTGTTGTTGGCTTGACAGAGAACAGAGTCATTGTATTCTTATTTAGTTCCACTGGGGACCAGCTTTTGTGTTCTAAAAAATCCTTAAGATCTCTTACAGGAAAAGAAGTTAGCTTATTCCACTCATTTTTCTTGAGCATGAATTTCCTTAGTTCAGTTATGAAGAGCATGAAGGTGATGCTTAAAA